ATATATATATATATATATATATATATATATATATTTTACTGACAAGAAGAAAAACAAAAAATACCACAAAAAAACCACTGAATTTTGACTTAAGGAGAATTAAACATGCTTATAATAATCTATTCACTAGTAGCATTTTGTTTATGTATTCCAGTTTCTCCAGCTGTAATTTCTGTGGGATATTTTAATAATAATCCATCTATCTTCAAAATCTGTGAATGCTTAAATGCAGATGGGTGGAGGGAGTCTATTAATTTTATTTTCTCAAGCACTGTGAAAAGTCAGTCGCTGTTCATGTTTTACCCAAATTAATTATGTAGAGAAAAATTATATGATGATAAAACATGTTTTATGACTGTTTTAATTATGCTTTTTTATTTTGTTGAGTCATGACAAGATAATTTTTTCTTAAGCTGTTAAGTGAATATCAAACTTGTTTTGTATTGTTGACATCAGTTTTCTGCTAAATGAAACAAGCATATTAAAACTGTTATGATGCTGCTGGTTTGCTTAATAAAGTGGATTATAATACTATTTACAGCATTTTTACTTTTATTTATATTAAAAAAACTGAACTGAAACTGAATACCGGTGTGCCGTAAGTATTTACAACTCTTACCTTGAACATTTCTCACACTGAACTAATTTCGAAATGTATTAATTTAAATCAAAACCAAGTGATATGATGGTAAAAACAATCAAGAGTTCACTATTCGACTTCAAACCCTTCCAAAAACTAAATATAAACATTTATTTTTCGGTTAAATGCAGCAAAAACAACAAAAATATTTCTCATTTGTTTTGAATAATTCATGGAATAGGAGCATCAACTCTGCTGTCAATGGTTGTTTGCATGTCAGTCCATCAATCTTAACTTCATACGATGTTTACCTGCAAGTTGTTTCCTTTACCTGGAAATATTTGAATAAAACAATAATAATAATAAGGCATCCAGAGGTCAGTGGTTTTATTCACAAGCCTCTCAATCTTTAAGTCATTTGAATTGACTGACACGTTCATGAGCCTCAGATGAAGATGTCGTGTTTTTTGCAAATTAGCTTTCATGCAAAAGCAGCAAAACAACAACAACAATCTGTCGTCATAGAAATAAACACTGTAATCAGTTTAAGCAGCAAACTGAAATAACACCAGCAGACGTATCAATATGTTTAATGACAACAAAACTTCATCCAGTTTCACTTAAAAACAAAACCAACATGTGAACGACTTCAGAACTACAGAATATTAAAAAAGCTTTTAAATTAAACTCATAGTTAAGGCCAGAAATTTGAACAAACTCTAAAATGACTTGAATTAAATCTTAAATGTTCATAAATATTAAACCACCTCAGAAAATGTTTCTCAATATTTTTCACTGATTCATTCCAAAAACAGTAATTAAAGCTAAACACACTTCTATAGATAACATAAATATTAATCTCTTAAAGAAGATTATCGTGTTTTTAATACATGAATAACATGATGATCCCTTGGACTCATAACTTTGATGAAAATACTTTTAACTAAAGTCTAATTTGTGGATATTATAGATAAAAGAGGAATACGGCTTATTTAAAAAAGCAATGTAGATAAATATTTAGGTGTCTATTAAATGTATTTCTAGCCAGTAGGAAGATCAGGGATCAGACAGGGAACCTCTAAATTATTAATGTAACTTTTTCATCTTCAGAAAAGCTTAAACTATTTTACTTGCTGCAAATTGTACCTTCTAATCCTAATAATGTCCCTAAAACATCCAACCTTAGACAGAGATGCATGTTATCTGCCAGAAACCTGCAGTAAAAATATATTCTGCTCTTTTACAATTTTCATATTTAGCTCAGTTAAACAAAAAATGTTTTAACCGCAGGTGAATATTAAAATGTGAGAACAGATCTGACATAAATATTAATTCACAAATCCAGATGCATTTTAGTTTAAGTTTAAGTTTAAGTTTAAGTTCTAACTTTAAGCAAACTTTTGCAAGACTCTTAAGTCCAATTCTCAATTTAAATACATTGCGGTTTTGCTAAGTATGATTCTTAAATCTGCAGAAAAAAATGAGATAAAAATAAAGATTTAAAACCCAAAAAATGTTATATGTTAATGACCATGATGGGTGTAGACTACCTGCACCTCAGATAGACCTTTTTCCATCTGCTCCGTCCTGTCATGGTGTCTTTGTTGTTTTTTCTGTAGTTGAATAAATAAATTTAGATCAAATTCAATATCCATGTTCATGCCAAGCAATTCCCAGATAATCCATTAAATTAGGAATCATTTTTTACAACAGTGCTGCTGGATTTTCTTACAACAAACCAGTTTCCCTTCTCTTTGCAGAAACAACAGAGGCAACACAAAGCTGCTGGGCAGATTCACCAGGACGCCGACAGCCACCAGTAAACAGTAAGAGCTGAGATTTAAACCGTCTACGATGCTCCAAATCACACTTCCAGTGAACCTCAGCACCTGAACCACCAAAATGATTAAAATCGTTTTGAAAGCCCTCTGCTTGGCCTGATCATTCCTCCTCAGGCCGGCTTCCTTATCGCCTGGTAACGGGCGACATAAATGAGACAGAACAGAGAGGCTGCAGAAGGACACAAATGTTAAATTTACAACCAGGATGCAAACATCGAAGATGGCGAGAAACTTTCTGAACGCCATCAGACCCATGCAGACGAAGGAGAGCAGCCAGACGCCGAGAACGGCGACGTTCCTCAGCCGCACGCCTCTTTCGTTTCGGAGACTCAGGTAGAAGGTGGGATGGACGACCGCCAGGTAATGCTCCACACACGTCAGCAGGTGGAACAGCGTCTGTCCGTGCCAGACCAAGGAAGTAACAAAATTTCCAACAAATATTAGATGGAAATGTTGACCGAAGACGCCGCAGCAATAAAAAATACAGTTCAACACGTTAAGCAGCTCCATGGAGGCCAGATGGTACGTGAAGCAGTCAGAGTGACTGAAGGCGCATCTCGTTTGATGCCGCTGGTGGAAGATGAAGATGAAGAGGCAGAATGGGAGGAAGAAGAGGAAGTCGATGGTCCAATAAGCAGCGAGGATGAAGGAGCCGGGAGTGGAGACGTAGCAGGAAACCAGATCTTCCATTGGGGAGCGAGGAGGAAGAAGAAGGGACCCGTTTGAGGATGAGGAGTTTGTCTTCATCTCTGTGAGGGAGAAAAAGAGTCAAATCAAATTCACAGAAAAAAACGGTGACGAAGAAAACCTGAGCAAATAAAAAATCAGTTTACTGACTGAGAAAAACGTTAAAATGAAGAAACTTTTTCCCCACATTGTTTTTAGAACGTCATTACTGTATTGGTCACTGATAATTGACAAGAAGTTCAGTCATTTTGTTTTGATTATTAAACAGTGGATGCTCTGACGTACATTACTGATTAAAAATGAGGATTTCATACTTTAATCAGCATCTGTGATGGACATGTTTTCTATGAAACTTTTATTTTCAGGACTCTAAGTTTCATGATAGCAAATTATATGGAGACTAAAGATGCAGCAGGAGCTGCTGCTGCATCTTGGCAGAGGAACAACTTAAAAAAAGAAATGGCACCAGAGAAATATTTTAGTTTTTTTGTGCATAATTTTTTGTTTGACCTTTGTGAAATCCTCCAAAACTTATCAAAACAATCAAAGCGTCTTTTCCTCTTGCATTCAGCTCCAGATCGAGCAAAAATATCAAGAATATAAAGTCAGAAAATTTAGTAAGTTGTTCATTTTGTGAAGATACTTGTTGAATTGAATAATCTCTTAAAGCCAACACATTAAAGAGTTCTGTCCCATTGTTTTTAATTCATCAAAAAATAAAAAAATGTTATGTTTAACAGTCATAAAGGCTCAGATCATCATCCATTTATTACCTGATATTTCAGCTGTTATAGGTAAATCTGACTCTCTTTTTAGATAATAATAATAATAATAATAATAATAATGAGTAAAGAACAAACACCAACCTTCTCTGTGTTTCCATTTGTTAATCTGATTCATGTGAGCAACATTCATCCTGTTTTATTTCAGCTCCACCTTCCCAAACTGCTGGGCTTTTATTTATATTCAAATAAGGTTTTATTTGCATTTAAAAACAATTTAATAGCAATAATTAATGGCAAACAATTGAACTTAAGATGAAAAGATAATAAATTATCACCTGACAGACGACAGAAAGTCAAAACTCTGTGATTTTCCATTTGTTCTGATCCAAACCAACATAAGAAACAGCATTGATTATTGTTATTTTTTGTATTTATTTTCTAATACTATTTTGGTTTATTTTTAATTCAAATAAATATTGATGTAAAGTTTGTCTTGGATGATGTGTGAGCTTCAGTGTGTTGCTGTAAACAGGCAGCAAAATCCCACAAAAAAATAAAATAAAGCAAAACTGTTAAAGCTTCTGCAAACAGGAAGCAGAAAATAAAATAAAAAGAACCAAACAAACAAAGAACCAGAAATATTCTGGAAAGAAAAGTGGGTTAAAATCCGTCTGCATGGAGAAATTGATAAAGTTGAAAAAACAAAAAAAAAACAACTTATTGTAGCTGAAGACGATTCTACAAGTTACTGAATGTTTGGCTAAACTTTGTTTGTTTTCCTCAGGCAGGAAGCCAAACTCTCGGCCTTTGAAGTTAATCAATCTATTTTTTCTACAAATGTTACTTTTCCATTAAATAGTTTCTAATTGTAGCTCTGTGAGGTGTAAGTATTGATATTTTCTGTTGTTTTGTTTCTATTGTTTGAAAAATTGATCAGGTTTTGTTGTTAAACCATCGGTGTGGCTCGTATTTCACATGTTGTTTGAACAGAAGATAAACACATTTAAATAATCGTGACACTATTTTTTATGCAAATTCGTTATCTTTGCAGCTTGGAGCGAAACACGGAGCTGAAGTAAAACCTCAGGTCCGTCACATTTACAGCACAGAAAGGCTCTGAGTTCAGAGGATCAGGGATGAAACTCTGACAGACACAAAGGTTGGTGCTGTTTTCAAACTTTATTTTCACTATAATTTAATAAAAAGAAAAAAAACAAGCAAGGCTTAGACATGTACAAAAACTGTCAATGCTTAAAATAATGCTTGGAAATTGATTTATTGAAGATAATTTGAACAAACCAGATTTGGTGTGTATGAAGTTTAACAGATTTTGTCGCTTTTGGGTCATTTTAAACCATAAAATCCAGTTTTTCATGTTTTTTTTCCCCTCTTCTAGACATCATGACAAACCCAAACATTTCCTCCAGCGTTGACTCTTCGTCGTTGGAGGCCGCCTGCTTCGTCTTCGGTTGGACCTCCATCATCTTCACCACCTTCACCATCGCCAACGTTTTGCTTCTCCTTCCTCTCATCGTCATCATCCTCGGCTTGGCTCTGCAGAAATGGCGGCAGAATCGCTCGTATTTCTCCTCCGCGTCGATGAGCCACTGCGACTGCTTCACGTACCACTCCGTCGCCATGGAGACGATCGGCGTCGCCGGTTGCATCGTCTCCTGCTGCGGCGTTTTCATGGGGAACTTGAACGTCAATGCGATCGGGAAATATCTTTTCTTCTTTAAATGGTACGGAGAGGTTCTGTTCCACGTCCTGACGTGTCTGGAGCGCTACGTGGCCGTCGTGCATCCCATCACGTACCTGCGTCTCAAAACTGAGCGAGGGCTCAGAATGAGGAACATCGTCGTTGCTTCTGTCTGGACGCTTTGTTTGGCGTTTGACTCTTTGCTTCACTTTGAAGCTATGATTTATTGGGAGCTGTCGTTCCTGATGTTGGGTTTAGTGGTAATCTCCTTCTGCAGCGTCTCTGTCCTCTGGGTTTTGGTTCGGCCCGGACCGGGGGAACGAGGCGAGGACAGAAAGACAGTGGTCCAGTCAAAGCACAGAGCGCTCGTTACCATAGTTTCCACTTTGGCCGTGCTGACGGTCAGAGTGGTGCTGAACGTGACTTTGGAGGTGGTTTACTGCTCAACTGGATTCGCTAACTGTGTTTTATTGACGACTGTTTTTTGGTTTCACCTCCCCAGCAGTTTAGTGTTACCGATTTTATTTTTATATAAACAGAGAGAAAACATTTTTAAGCAAACGATGTTCAGCAAGGGTTAGGATTAAACTGGGCCAAACTGGAGTTAAGGTCCAGTTCGGCTCTACCAGAGTTCACAGCTTCAGTTATGGACAACCAGAACTGTGGTCCACTCTCCAGTGATGTTCATAAAAAAACCTCAAGTTTGGGGTTTTAATGGACTCAAATAAAACCAGATGTTTCATTTTATCTAGTAGAAATGAACTGCTGGTCCAAACAAAATGAAAACAGTTCAGGGTAGCTGATTATTTTGTTGCTACACATATAAATATAACTATATTAAAGAATTTTATTTTTCATTTTTCAAGCATGCAATCGTTTGGATTGCATCCATTTATATCTATGAAAAATAAATAAACACTTTAGTAAAGTGTTAATTATTGGAGATAATGGTTCTCATGTTTCGGCTGTAATCATGTTTTTGCAGTTAAAAGATGTAATCCGATATCCACACATGAACTTTATTAAAAAGAAAACCCAAAGAATAAAATGCACATCAAGCCAAACTAAAATTATGTTTCCAGTGTTTCATAGCAGGCGGCACAAAACTACAACTCTGATAGCAGGCGGCATGTCCGCCGTTCTGCTTTGGTTGGAGTTTGCAAAGATGTAAATCAAGAGGCGATCAATCAAATCTAATCAAGTCTGGGTTTGTTCTTCACCTGAAGTGAGGTGAAGAGAACGAACCAGTTAAAGCCGCTCTGCTGGAGAAGAGCCGTTTGCCACAAATGTCTGCAAAACCTTTTTTGATTCGCTGCTAATAAAAAAGAAAAAAAATCACATTGCAGTGTTTCCATTAAATAAAATATTCAGTTAAAACTCATGTGGACAGGTTTGTTCATGTGATAAGTCAGTAAAACTTGGTGCAATCGAATGAAAACGTGAAACTTTTCAGCCTCTGTGTCTCATTCAGGCTGAAAATCCTCCAGAGTCTCATCAGACATGATAAAGTTGGACAGAAATAAAAAACGTCAACTTGTTGAAGCTCAAACTTTTTCTACAAGAAGCTGCATTGTTGAGCTCATCGCTGTCCTCGTATCTCTTTAGTTTGATTGAAAGTTTAACAAATAAACCTTTATTTTGAGAAGATGAATGACTTCTTTGGGATTACCTGGACTAGATGAGCTGTTTATCAGATAACGATGCATTCTGCTTGTTTTCTCTCAGAGTTGTGAATCTTTTATCTTTGTTTTAAGTGATTGATGTTTAGCAGTGAACGCATGTATTTTACACGTTGCTTAAATGAACACGATTAAATCCTAGAGGCAACTTCTCTGATGCAAATAAACTGGATTTGAATAACACTAAGTGGCACAGAGAGAGAGGGCAATGAAAACGTGGGTCTGTGCAGCAAACAGAGGAAAGAGAGGAGACCGAGCTGTGCTGAACACTGGGGTTGGTTTTGATTTTATTTTTAATTATGTCATAATATATGAGCAATCATGTTGTTCTTAAAGCTGAGATTTGTGAAGGAGCATGCTAACATTCAGATCCTTTAAATGGATTTATTGAAATGACTTAAATCTGGTGAAAAATAAAGTCTTGACTCAGTAAACGATTTAAATCTTAAAGGTTTGCACAGAACTGGTAGAACAAAGATGAAGGGAATATGAGTGTGCTGTAAACTGATAAAAGTTTCTTCCTCAGACATCATGGCGGACATATTGTTACCAGGCAACATTTCCTCTGATTCCCCGCTGGATGCTCACTGCTTCTTCCGCAGCTGGAGCTCCGTCATCTTCACCGTGTTCAGGTTCACCTTCACTCTGCTCCTCCTTCCTCTCAGCATCCTCATCCTCAGCCACGGCCTCCGGAAATGGAGGCAAACTCCCTCCTGCTGTTCGGTGAGCCACTGCGACTGCTTCACCTACAGCTCCGCCGCCATGCAGCTGCTCGGGGTGGCTGGGTGCACCGTGGTCTCCTGTGGTGTTTTCACGGAGGATGCAAACATCTCAAGTAAAGGATCGTATATTTTCTTTGCGAAATGGTACGGAGAGATTCTCTGTCACGTCCTGACGTGCCTGGAGCGCTACGTGGCCGTCGTGCATCCCATCACGTACCTGAGTCTTAAAAGTGAGCGAGGGATCAGAATGAGGAACGCCGCTGTTGCTTGTGTCTGGCTGGTTTCTGTGGCAGGAGTGAATTTGTATCACATTAAAACTATAATATTTTGGGAGCTGTCGTTCCTGGTGTTGGTTTTAGTGGTAATCTCCTTCTGCAGCGTCTCTGTCCTCTGGGTTTTGGTTCGGCCCGGACCGGGGGAACGAGGCGAGGACAGACGGAAAGTGGTCCAGTCAAAGCAGAGAGCGCTCGTTACCATAGTTTCTACGTTGGCCGTGCTGACCTTCAGAGTGGTGTTTAATGTGGCTTTGGAGGTGGTTTATACCGTACCAGGGTTGGACAGCTGTGTCATTCTGATTTCTGTTTACTGGCTTCACCTTCCCAGCAGTCTGTTGTTGCCAATTTTATTTTTATATAAAGAGAGAAAAAACATGTTTAAAAATAGAGATTTTAGGTGATGCTTGGTCCAGGAGTCAAGAGTTGTTGATATTTATGTAATAAATGGCATTTATAATTGTCAAAAGTATGTTTTTGTGCAAGAATAAACAACAAAATAAAATATTTTTCATTGATTTCCATGTGTATGTCCATCAAACTCGATGTTCAGCTGAAATGTTTTTGTTACATGACCTGAGAAAGTCTGGAAAATGTCACCAAAGTGGGCGGAGCCAATGAACGACCAGCTGCGTGGATAAGAAGAAAATCAGGATGAAACTTATTCACTCTGTTGATGTTTATTAGTTTTAGAAAACCAGCCAGTGTGTCTTTGTTTTCTTGCATATTCCAAAAGGTTTTACCAACATGTTCATAATGCACAGTCATGTTTATTTTGTTGGAATAAAAGCGAAAGAGTTTAAACAAAATCAAGAGACTTTTAATATTTTAACTCAGAACACAGAGATTTTTAAATAAAACATTGAAATTACTAAATTTATAGACAAGTAAAATGTATCTAAAATGAAACAGATGTTTTTTAAAGGGCAAAGTTTACATTAAATTTGCAAACGAAATGTCCATCTGATCTGTCCCTGGTTATTTGTACAAAGGTGGAGCAGAAAGTCCAAACATTTATTGTGTTGATGAATAAAATAAATCAAACGCAAATAAGTCAGATTAGACAGAGTCAATGCTGTATTTTGAATATTCACAACAGAACAAAACAGGATGATTTAAAAAATGATGGAAATTTGCTGGAAACTCTCACAGGAAAGACAAAATTTAAATAGTTAGACAAAGGAAAAAGACAAACAAATGAGCGAATCACTTCCAACTCTTGATCACAACTGAAGAACTAAATTAACTAAACTATCCTCAAATATTAACCTTATTGTAACCTGAAAGAAAAACTGCATTTATTTATATTTTAAAATGATTGTAGCAGATGTAAGCACTGATTTGTTATCAAAAGTCTTTCCAGATGTCACTTTTTAAATTTCTTTTGTAAATGTCGAATACACAGAACATCTCTACATTGCAAAATCACAAAATCTTACCAAGTATTGTTGTTTAGTTTACAAATATCTTAGTCCACTTGAATTAAAGCAACGTAAAAACAAAGCTTGTTGTAAGTAAATAATTCATTAATAATTATGAACAATTACTACTTACGTTGGCAGAATATTTCACTCATAACATGGGGAAATTGTCTTGTTATAAGTAAATTTATCTGCCAATAAAACAAGTACTTTTTCAACAATATTGGGAAATTATTTACTTAAAACCAGCTAATATTTTGCTGAAAATATGCTTGTAAGTCAGTTTTGTTGTTTTTCAAATGCTCCAGAAATGAGACTAAAAATACTTGGTAATATTTGATGTCTTTGCAGTGTAATTCAGAATTGGACATCTTTGTTTTATTGTGACTTTCCTTGAAAAAAGAAAGTCCAACTGCTTCTAGTTTGCTGAGTGACGTATATTTCGGAACAATATTTTCTTCTTGTGGTTTTAGTTTTATCAGTTTTTTTAGTGGTTTTACTTACAACAGAATAATTTTTCTGCTCTGTGCAAAAACAGCAGTGGTAAAACCAAACTGCTGGGCATAGAGAGCCACACCATCGACCCCAGGATCACACACTCACTGCTGAGCTGCAAAGCGTAAACTAAAGTCCAAACCAGACTTGAAACGAACCTTAACACCAGTACTCCCAGTATGGCCACCATGGTGTAGAACGCCCTCTGTTTTGACCTTTGCTGTTTCCCCGGACCTGGACGAATCAGAACAAGAAGAGCGGAGAGGCTGCAGAATGAAACGGCGGTCAGGACAGAAGCCAGGATGCAGAAATTCAGAGCGGTAAAAACATTTTCCCACATCAAGCCGATCCCAGAAAGAGACAGCAGCCACACACACCCAGTGCTGATGTTTCTGATGCGGACGCCTTGCTCGTTTCTCAGCCGCATGTAGGTGATGGGGCGAACGACGGCCAGGTAGCGCTCCAGACACGTCAAGGCGTGAAACAGCGTCTCTCCGTACCAGGCGTAGAACCACGGAAAGGCGCCGCAAACCAACAAGTACAGCTGGTCGCTGTAGATTGCACAGAAGCAGACGACGCACCCGGACATGCCGGTGATCTCCATGACGACCAGGTTGTAGGTGAAAAAGTCTGAGTGGCTCATCGTTGACATCAAGGAGGAAAAGGAGCCTTTTTGTTTCCACTCACACGCTCCGTGGTAAAGGATGGAGAAGCTCAGGAAGAAGAGGACGGAGCTGTTAGTGATGAAAAACCCTGTGAAAATAAAACCGCTTTGTGGAGACAGGAAACAAGACATGTTCAAAAAGGGGGAGAAAGTGACGGGAGAAGAGAGCAGAGGAGGAACGGAGTCATTCGATGAAGGTTTTACCAGCATCTAGAAGAGAGCAAAGAAAAAACATGTCATTCATCTATAAAGGCAGTGTTTTTTAATTATGTTGTGGAATTTTTTTATAATTTCTAACAAAGTTAGATAATAATCAATATGGACTTGAAATGCAACAAAAC